TTCTTTCTTGTTCTTCTTTTTCTTTTTGTTCTTTTTCAACAAGTAACTGTTCATACCTTTCTTTATAAACTGAAACATACGTCATAATAGACTTAGGGTCTGGACGTTCACATACCAAATCCTTTACGTCCATCAAAATTGGAATTTTGAATTGTTCGTATGCAAGTTTTTGGCAGTCAATAACCATCTGAGTATTGTCTAATCCACTAAATTGTTCAAATTTAATTTGACCACCAGAAACAGCTTCTGTTAATTTAACAAGAGCAACCCCATCTTTCCAGTCACTTGAGAAATTAGATACATTCAAACCAAAAGAATTGACCCATTCCAAAAGTGCATTATTTTCTACTACCTCTTCTTTAGCATTAACGTTCTTTTGTTGGTTAGCATTAATTTTATATTTAAGAATCATAGTCCATACCATACCAAGAATATAAGTTATATTCCCATCAACAATATTTTCAGCTGATACTGATGTGTTAAGTCTCTCTTCCTTCATAAAGTTCACTGCTTTTCCTACATTGTCCAATTTCACAATTCTACTCTTAGTCATACATTTCTTGTGGGGATAAGCTTTTTTTCCAGATAACTTTTCCATAAGACTAATCAAAATATCTGACTCAGATAAATCAGTAAGTAAGTTTTTGATTTGTTGTTCTTCTCCAAGATTATAATTCACCCAATTGGTGTATGTTCTTAGTTGTGATTCTTCCCATTCTTTATTTCCAGTCATGTTTGCAACTTGTTTTAACTCTTGATGATAAAATATTTCAATTCTTTTAAATATCCCGTTTTGTCTCTTTCTCTTTTTATGATATCTTTTATCAAACGAACTTTTTCTATTATTAACTGTTGATTACTGACGTGTTTTCCATTTGATCACTTTTGTACTATGCTCAAACCTGTCTCTTTTTCAAAACTTCAGCTAATTATGGATTTTAAGTTCATTACATCTCACCTCATTTTAAGTTAAGTTAGATTAAATTTCATCAGTAAAAGATCAAAAAAACAAAAATAAACAAATAACAAAAAAGGAAATAATAACATAAACAAAAACCCTAACAGAAGAACAAACAATAAAATAAAAGTCTTTTGATTAATGGAATCAAAACAATTTGCTGTTGATCAAAAGAAAGCAGATTTAGAATACTATTGGGATTCATATTCTACAATTAATATTCATGAACAAATGATTAGTGATTATACTCGAACACATACATATGAAAAAGCAATTAATGCTTGTAATATTAAAGGAAAGGTTGTTCTTGATGTTGGATGTGGTCTTGGGATTTTATCATTATTTGCTGCAAGGGCTGGTGCTAAACATGTGTATGCAATTGAACGAGCTTCAATTGGAGAAAAGGCAATAGAAGTTATAAAAAATAATGGATTTGAAGATGTTATTACAGTTATTCGTGGAAGAGTTGAAGATATTACATTACCAGTTGAACATGTTGATGTAATTATTTCAGAATGGATGGGATATAATTTATTATATGAATCAATGTTAGGATCAGTTCTTTATGCTAGAGATAAATGGTTAATCAAAGGTGGATTAATATTACCTGATAAATGTACCATGCATATTAATGGTATTGAGGATCAATGGTATTATGATAATAAAATTAATTTTTGGAGAAATGTATATGGATTTAATATGACTCCAATGAGGGCTGAGGTATTAAAAGAACCATTAGTAGAAACTCTTAATTCTTCTTCTATTGTAACTTCTGATGATTGTATATTAACTATTGATATTAATACTATGAAATATGAAGATCAATGCTTTACTTCTCCTTTTAAAATTAAGGCTTTCAGAGAAGATTTTATATATGGTTTTTCTACTTGGTTTGATGTTTCTTTCCCTCAAAGTGGTGAAGTTCTTACAACATCTCCTTATCAAGTAGAAACACATTGGCATCAATCAATGTTTTATCTTGATGAACCAATTACTGTTGCAGCAGGTGAAATTATTGAAGGAACATATTCATTAAAATTTAATGATGTTAATCCAAGATTCCTTGATGTAGAAATATCCTTTAATTTCCATGGCATGTTCCATTCAGCAACAGGAACAATGAAATATCAAATGCAATAATTTTTTTGAATGACTGAAATTATAATTTATCAATTTTTTCTTTCTATCAAACTTCACTTTAAATTTCAATTTATACAAACATTTAGATGATAAAACAAAATGGTAATCTAAGTATTATATAATTTGAATTACAATAACAGAGATATTATCAACACTTCCATTAATAAAAGCATTATTTCTTATTGTAGCAGCTATTTGGTCTGGAGATAATGGTTGTGATAAGATTATTTCCATTTCACTATCTCTATTTCTTATGAATTATCTTCTATAAACAAAAAGAAATAATCACATTTAAATTGAGAAAAAAATAAAACAAACGATAGTGAATCAGTTACTCCATCAGTTACAATCACAATATATTTCATTGAAAGAGAATGAATTGATATGTCAGGTTTATAAGTTAATGGTGGTTGTAGAAGTTTATCTCCAAGAGAACGAGAAAGATTTATTTGACCATTAACACGATCAACTCCTTTAATGTTTATTACTTTTCCACCTGATGCAATGATTCGTTCTTTTTCAAATGTAGCAGAATGATTTTGTGTCATTCTAACCAAATGACCATTTTCATAAAAATAAATAGGTGAATCACCAACATGAGCTAAAACAACATCATCTGAACGAATAATACAAATAGATGCTGTTGTACCACTGATTGTTTGTGATGAAATATTATTATGAATTGATTCAAATATTTGTGGTAGTTGATGTTCACAATCTTTTGGATTTAAACAATTAAACTCATTTTTCATTGATGTTAAACAATATCTTGCAGCTTCTTCTCCATTATGTCCATCAAAAATCCCAATAATATCAATATTTGGAAATAAATCACCTAATACATTTGCAGTATCTTGCATACGATCATTTTTACCAATTGTTTGAGAAATACCAATTTCATATCGTTTTGATGGTTGATATTCATGTTTCTAATAAATATGAATTTTGTTTTGAATGATCTTTAAAGACAAAACAAACAATTAATTCAATATCTTGAATCCCATCAAAATTATCTCCTCTTCCACTTGACCCAATTTCAACACTTCCATTGGTGTCTAATAAGTATGTTATAGAACAAGGAGGTAATACTGCTTGACAATTAAATACAACTTCATTATTAGAACTTATAACTGGCTTTTCTGTTGCATAAAAAGCAGCTTTTCTTGATCGTTTTTTTCTCTCTGTTGTAGCAATACCATTCATTCCAGTCAGACACAAATGAAAAAAGTGAAAACTTTAAATGGGTCATTTATAAAGAGGAAATATTCTATGATTTTATTTTTCTTTAAACAGAAACTATTATTTTTGTGTCTTTATTTCCTTATTATTTTTTGTGTTATTTAATTTGTGTTATTCAAAATAACGTCTCTTTTCGTTCAACATTATCAACGACACAGAAGTTCATTGGAATATCTTCTTTTGTTGTAAGTTGTAATATTTGTTATACAACACACATACATTTATTTGAAAAAGTCAATAACGAAAACATCAAAAAATGAAAGAAAATAAAAAACAAATTATCATAACAAAGTTTCCTTTTTCTTATTCATTTTCATATAAATCTATTTCATTATACTATTTGTTCAATCTTTATAGAAAATGGCTATTGGTT